TGGGCTGCGATCCGTGGCCACCGCGCGCCTCTTTCGGGTCAGTACCGCGGGACACCGAGACGTGGCGACCCTTAGCTGGATGGAGCTGGGATGGAAAAGGCCCGGGGTCGAGGGATCCCGAGCCGTCACGGCGTGTCTGTCCCTTTCTGTCATGCAGGCTGGGCGGGAGGGTGACACTGGAACGTGGGGGGACTCGGGCTGGAGGGATCGGGGACCGGGGAATCCTGGGCCGCTTTATGCCCCGTTAGAACAGCGCGGGGTCGGGGGTGCAGATGGATGCGGGGGTGTGGCCCGGGTGGGGTGAGCCTGTGACGTGGGCCACCCGATACAGGTGGGCCGTTCGGGACTTGAGCACCCCTATGCGATCAGTTCGGCCCAAATGGACCCCGCGTGGAAGTGAGAGGGGGCTCAGGCCGCTTCCTGCGCGCTCTGCTGCAGGGCCGAGTCGAGGATAGAGGAGCCCCAGGATGGGGATGGCGAGGGCTCCGCACGCCGAGGTGCCTGCGCCACGCTCCGCCAGGCCATGCAAGGCGCGCCCGGGACCCGAACTGGGTCCGCGGCCCAGTCTCCGCCGAGGCCGTGCAACCGCGGAGCCTCCCTGCTCGCTGCTCTCGGGAAGAGGCAGGAGCTGCCTGGTCCCTGCCTCGCTCCCGTCTGGGGTCAGCGCCACCCTCTGACCAGAGATGGCAAAGGCCTGGTGCTCCAGCCAGACCCGTGTTCGTTTCCTTGGAGGTGACATGGCCCGAGTCTTTAGGGCTGGACGCTAAGAAGCTCTGGTTGAATTGCTCGGTTTCTGGGGGAGGCCACTGTCATGGGCGGAGAGTGACCGTGGTGGCGACATTGCACCTGACCCCGCTCCCTTCCCTGGGGGAGGGGTCGCTGTTGCGGGAGCAGATGGGAGGGCGTTTGGGTCCCCAGCTTAGCTGTCACTTCCCCGAGGACTGGCTGGGGTCACCCGCCCCGGTCTGGCTGGAGGTGGAAGGGGGTGCGGGGACCGAGCGCCCAGCGCCAACAAAGGAGCCTTGGCTTGGAAGAGGCTAGTCCTTGTTAGGTGGCCGGCCGGAGGTTGTTTGGCTGCCTCTGTGCCCACCCCCGTCCCACATGTCACGCACACGGGGTGGGGGAGAGACCCCAGCCACCACCCCGCTCCAGGGAGGGGGAGGAAGGCGTGACAAAGGCCTCGACTTCGTTGTCCCTCGCCACCTTCCCAGTTTCCAGCTGGGAAGCTGCAGGCGCAGGAGTCCTTGTTAGGTGGCCGGCCGGAGGTTGTTTGGCTGCCTCTGTGCCCACCCCCGTCCCACATGTCACGCACACGGGGTGGGGGAGAGACCCCAGCCACCACCCCGCTCCAGGGAGGGGGAGGAAGGCGTGACAAAGGCCTCGACTTCGTTGTCCCTCGCCACCTTCCCAGTTTCCAGCTGGGAAGCTGCAGGCGCAGGACGGGGACAGCTGGTCAGGGAGGGGACAGGGTGGCTTTCAGGCCAGCAGGTCGGAGCAACCCCTCCCCGCGTTCCTCCGGGACAGGGCTGGGGAGACCCTCAAAGTCATGCGTCCCCTCGCTTTTGCAATCCTCGGAGGTCCTGGCTCTCCCCAGCCTGGGTGGGGCGCTCGCCCCATTCTCAGGCTCGCCCTTCCCAAGAAATAGGCGGAGAGGGGGCTGCCCGCTTCTCCAAGGCTCTTCTTTTTGGCAGCGGCCTGGTTGCTAAGGGTTACCGGAGCTGGCTCGGGCTGTCGCCATGACAACCACTGGGTGCTGCGGGCTCCGGCCCCCTCAGTGGTGGGGGGAAGGAGGCGGGGCTTAGCCGTGCCGCGTGGAGGCCCCGCCCCCAAATGACTCAAGCCCCGCCCTCCGTCCCGACCCTCCACGTTCCTCCGCGCCTCGCCTCCCTATGGTGTCCCCCTAATGTCCCCTCTCGAGTCACCTGTTCGCTCATGCACCGACCTCGTCTTGGTGTGACACCCTATCCTCACCCTACCTCTCTGCATTCCAGGCCCCCTCCTTTTTGAGTCTCCCCCAAGTTCCGACGTGCACCCCACACATGCTCCGCACCCGCCTTCTCCGGTTCCCCCCAATATTCCCCTCTGGGTGTCCTGTATCTCCCAGGTGCTCCCTCTCCCCTTCACGTCTCTCCTGTGGGGGTCCTTGGCGTTTTCCAACAGTCCCTGCCGTGTTTCCCCATGCCCCCCATATTCCCCTTCGCGGTCCCTTCCTGGGTCACCCCACGATGCCCTCCGTGGGGAGCATTCATTCTCTCCAGCTCCCCATGGCTCCCGAGGCTCCCCCTGTAACCCCCGAAATCCCACGGGCTCAGCACATTAGCCTCCTGCGCTTTAAGCCCGGCGTCCCCCCTCCTGGCCTCCTGCACCCCCTTTCTTCTCCTTTCTCCTCCGGGTCTCCCCGTCACTCTCTTCCCCAGGGCCGCTGCCACCCGACAGCTGAGCCCTAAGTTTAGCCCTTGGCGCGCGCAGGAGGGCTCTGGTTACGCTCCAGGGTGAGCACCAGGCCCGCCCGCCCCAGCGCCTTGCACCCTGGGAGGCCCTGGGCCTCGGTTTCTGCACCCCGAGGAGCTGTGCCCGGGCCCCCAACACCCACGGATCGCCCCTCTTCTTGCCCACAGCCTCTAGCCAAGCGCTGCCGCCTCCAGCCTAGAGATGCCGCCAAGATGCCTGAGAGCGCCTGGAAGTTTCTCTTCTACCTGGGATCCTGGAGCTACAGCGCCTACCTGCTCTTCGGCACCGACTACCCCTTCTTTCACGACCCGCCGTCAGTCTTCTACGGTGAGGACCCTGCGGGGGTGGGCCAGGAGGGCTCTGCTGGAAACTCAGATAGGACCAGCAGTTAAGGGCGTTGGATTTCCACATGGTTGACCGCGGTTCGAATCCCGGACGTGGCGACTTGCTTTCTCTCTTTCTCTCTCTCTTTGTGTCTCTGCCTCTCTCTCGGTAGTGAGCACGTGTGCCCTATAGCAAACTAATAATAATAATAATAATAGTAGGGCCAGCAGACAGTGGGGTGGTTAAGGTGGCTAGATTCCCACATGGTTGACCATGGTTCGAGTCCCGGACCTAGCAGCTTGCTTTCTCATTTTCGTACTCTCTCTGGTCAACATTAAAAATAAAATAATGGAGGACCAGCAGTTAGCATAATGGCTATGTCGCTGGACTCCCACGTAGTCGACCACAGTTTGAGTCCTGGACCCGGTGGTTTAAACTCATGCCAGGCGCGTGTGCGTGCGTGCCCAAGATCCCGAGAGGAGAATGGAGGAGAAGGGATTGCGGCGTGGCCATCCCCCCTGGGGGGTGATTTCTCGCTTTCTGTCTCTCTTGTCTCTCTCTGTCTGTCTGGCGAGCGCATGTGCCCTATAGGGAAAACCTCTCAAAAAAAATAAATAAAAAAAAAGTCCTAATAATAATGACATTGAATAAAAATAATAATTATGGGGGCTGGCAAGTGGCATGGTGGCTAGGGCTCTAGCCTCCCACATGGCTGGCCGTGGTTCTAGTCCCAGACCTGGCAGCTTTCTCTCGGTTTGTCTCATTAGTGAACATGTGTACCCTCTACCAAATTT